AAAGACACTAAGTTTCTTCTAGATCTCTCAATTGTCTCAAGTACACTGCCTCTTTATTCTTTTCTTCCTTTCGCAATCTGAGTTTTTTAGATCCTCATGAAAGATTGACATAGACCATTGTGGAAGCAAGTCTGAAAGAAATACATTCCTCTTAGTACAGCCTCTGCTTCCCAACAGGTAGCCTTGAGATAATCAAAAACATGATGATGATGAGTCTCAACATAGCCATCTATCTTAACTTGGCCTTAGGTCTTCAGTACACCTCTATGATCTCTCAAAATAAGTGTGTGCACCTCATTATTGGCTTCATGAATTTCTTCACAGGTAATTTCCTAGCTTCACTGGTATGAATAGAAATTGCAATGGGCTTGGGGGTTCCCACATGTAATCTTTAAATAGGTAGCCTTTCCAATTATTTGATTCAAGGGTATATATTATTTCTGAGTTGTATCTATCACTAACTATGATCACTCTATGAAAAAGCTGTGCTAGAAGGGATAGTTTGGGAAGTAAGGTGAATGGGGGGGTGAAGACTTGACTAATAAATTTAAAGAAACTTCTTGAGAAAAAAATTCTTTCATTTGAACACTAGGTTGCCTTTTGTTCTATGCAGTCTCTACGTATTATCACAAGCTAAATAAAGGTCAAGATGTATACTTCGTTAGTTACAAAGCCAAACGAATCACTTTCACTGTCTACTTAGCCATCGCACTACTTCTGACATGTGGTGAGTATCCTCAGGGACCTAGAAGAGAGATGGGAATCACTCGATCCACACAGAGAGAAGTATGAAGTAATGAAAATAAAAGATCAAGGAGAAGATGCCAAATCCCATGCTTTAAAAGGTGAAAAAAATCACCTGGACTACCCAAACAGTTCTTAGAAGCAGAAAGCTGAAATTGGACAGGGTAAGCCATCTCTGTCTCCAAAAGTACCTCTCATCATCTCCTTTTTAGTGTTTTTAGTACCTTCACAACTTTAAGGCAGAGACCAACCATGAAAGTCACCACCAAGAGCAGTGGCTGAGGACAAGGTTATTATGTTAGAGAGGACCAGGGAGCCAAAAAAAAAAATAAAATAAAATAACAGTGTGGTGCCAAAGCAGTTACAAGAGAGCCAGCATCAAAACTGATACAAGAGGGATCCACAAGATCCAAGAGGTCCTCTTCTCCTTCTCCTGGGAAGTCTTTAAAATTTCATAAAAATTGCATCTTCCCAAAGAACAATGTATAAGCATCTCTTTATTGAGAATGAACAGTTCTCAGGGAACTGAGACTCTCTGAAGATACTGTGGATTATTCCACTTCCTCTGACTTATGCATTCTTCTCCAGGATGACTCCAAAGAGTAGCTGGGAAGTATTCACTAGGCCCAATGGTCAGATTCTTCTCAGGATTTGGAACAAAGTGGTCCCACACCTCTGCACAGTACACTAATCCTACTTCCTTATTTCTCTGTCTCCAGGTATCTTCTGTTTCATACAAGCCTCAAATAGATGTGCCTGCTTACTGAACAGAAAAGGTAGTGGCAAAAAGCTGAATGGAAATTCAATCCAAGTTATTTCCCTTCCAGAGCGCACCACAATGCCTCGGAGCATTGTCCATGTGCACTCCACCATCTCAAAGGATGGTAGCCTGAGCAAGCCACGTGTCCAAACACGTCGTGTAACCTGGGCTCTATGACTTAACAATATCGACCTTTTGCCCATTGCTATGGAAGTGGGTGTGTGTATGTGTGTGTGCATGTGTGTGTATACATGTGTACTCAATCATTACATCTGTGTATGACATTCTGAATATGTATGTATGAATACATTGAGGTGAATGAAAAGATTTAGAAAATGTCACTTTTTAAATCTTGACCTGATAACCAATTCCCTCTATATTTGTTATTAATACACTTTAAATAAACAATATTGGATGCACTGTTAACTCTATAACAGTATAGAATACTTCTTGTTTCATTTGTAATATTTTAAACATATTGATGGAAAGACAAAGCAATATTATAAACACTTTATAAAATTTAAACATTCCATTCTTCCTTATTTCTTCTACTACTGGAAGATTTTTTTAATTCAAACTGATATTCATCTAGACAATTTTCTAATCTCATTTTTGTTTATCTTAAGAAAACACTTTTCAGGATAGCTTGCTAGTAATTTTACGTCATGTTTTCATTTCTACTTCAATGCCTCCGGATAAATGATGTCTATCTAGCCTTCCAAGTGTTTAGAGAAATTGTAAAGGTGTAGGACACCGTGCCAAATGTAAGCTAGGACAACACTAGGAGAAAAAAAAAAAAAACAAGAAAATTGTCACCTCTGGGAAACAGGATCTAGTTTTCCTATAGCAATGTGGCAACATCACCTAATAGGTCAATGATGACAGCGTTGCCTGTTAAAGTGAGCAGGTAAACACAAAGTGAACTTGCCTAAAGATGCTTCATCTGTATTAAAGGAAAGCTTTATCCGGGTAACAATAGGTTCACGTTATGCTTTTGAAGATACAGAATGTTCCAAGATTTGGGGCTGTTTTACACCCATTAATCATTATTAACATCAATGTTTGTACCAAGCTTAACATATTTGAGACTATATGACAAATCTCACACAGCAAATTAATAAGTTACTTATAAACCAAGTAGTTTCTAGATATACAATGAATAATTTGAATGGTATATGTGTATTTATGATACATATTTATGTACATTCTTTAAACAAAGTTCTTGAGAAATCTTGTGGAGAAAGCTTTGGTGTGTTTGTCCTTGTGCTCCGCAGTGCTACAGCTGTGGCCTCAACTCATGACTAAGCATCCTTTCCACCCCAGCCCCCGCTGTTACCCAACTAGTTCTTAGAGGGTTTCTCAAATAGATCTCAAGCCTCGTGTTATCATATCCTCTCCAGCGCTTTAGAAAGTAGGCTATCAACAGTATGTAAGACAGTGGGTCTCTATAGGCATGTGTGAAACAAGTTGCTTCTGTCTCTGAGCACCGCTCATTGTCATCTTCTACTGTTTATCTTACCTAACTTGATGCAATGTTCTGCCCCTCCAACCAATAGCTGCTGAGATACCAGCCCATTGGGGCGTGGTTTCTCTCCCTTTAAAAAAAAAAAAAAAAAAAAAACGGTTACTTCCTTGGCTAGCTCTCTTCACTTCCTGCTCTGCCGGTTGACTAAACTCCCCTCCTGGTTGCGCAGAGGGCTGTTGTCTGGGACAGTGATCTGTAAGTTTTTTCTTCTTTAAATAAATACCACCCTATTAATCATAACTCCAAACTGCTGTGGCATTGTTCGTGACTTACGCCTACTTCTGGCTCCCGAACGTTTGGGCTGCCGGCCGCGAGTTCGGCTTTGCAGGAGCCCTCCCTTCCTCAGCCACGGCCTGTGCCTTGTGGCGGCCTTGTGGCCTGTGCCTTGTGCATGGAGCCAGCAGTTTAATATAAATTATCACTCACTGGCTTTTCTTGCTGCAGTTCTTTATATTTTCCCTTTAGACACCTCAGATAGACTTCAAGTCCCCACACACCCTATCATCTGCCTCTCCACGTGGATTTAAACTCCACAGGCCCACGTAGTCTCTGCCTGCGTGGTTTGCTCTTTTCTGAGTCGTTTTTAAATCTCCCTTGCAAGTACAGCTCTTAAGTGGTGTGAACCAGAGCATGAGATTGCTGAAAGCTACAACCCCTCAGGGTGACTCTGTCATGTGGAGGCATACAGGGCTTCCGGGTTACTCTCCTCTACCCCTGGATTCTGGGTTTATGGTTCCGTGTATGGAATTGATTTAATTACATTTACTTTGTTGAGCAACTTGCATTTCCCAGTTTTTAACAAATACTAGGCCGACTCTGAAACAGGACCCCGTTTTCATCGTGACTTGGCAACAGTGCAACCTGCTAGATAATAGGTAATATGACAGTTTTTGTTTCCAACCTGAATTTTACTGTTTGGGCTACTAATACAATGGGTTTATATGACTATGAGGATAACTTAATTTACTGGTTACTAGGTTTTAGTATTCTTTTGCATATTCTATCATTTAGGAAGAATATGGCACTCCCAAGAACCATACTATCTTTACTAGAAACTCATGCAGGTCAGGAGATTCAGGATTCAAAAGAGGCAATAATAAAAACAATAATAAAAAGACTTGAAATGATTGAAGAAATTATTGGAGCTGGTGAACAGAGTAATAAGGCATAAGGACAGGATACAAGGCCAACACCAGCTATCAGAACTGGCTTACCCATGGTTTTAGCTGCATACCCTATACTTAATTCTGACAAAGCGTCAACTTCTAAAGGCTCAAAGGGAGTCAGAGAAGCTAGATGGATGCCAATAGCAATGAATGATCTAAAAGAAATTAAGCAGGCTATTGTTAATTTTTGTTTGCACAATGTTTATGTAAAGGAAATGATAAGGACTTGGGCTTCTAATGCTAGAGCTACCCCCTATGATTTCCATCAGTTAGTGTCTGCAGTTTTAGATAAGGGACCTTCCTTGATGTTTGGAATTTATTTCAGAGAAGAATCCAAACATATGGAACAGCAAGGAAGAGCAAAAGGTGTCTAGGTTTCCCAAGATCAAATTCTTGGTGCAGAAGAATATGCTGATCCACAGGTCCAAGCTCTTTATGATGTGTCTATGTCACCAAGCAGCTTTAAATGCTTGGAATAGGATACAAGATCCAGCAAAAAGGGTTGAATCATATACCAGAATTAGGCAGGGACAGAGGGAACCCTTTATTGACTTTTTGCAAAGATTAATTAAGGCTCTGGACATAGGGGTAACAGACCCAGAATCTAGACGAATACTTCTTGAATCTCTAGCTTTTGAGAATGCAAACATAGAATGCAAAAAGATAATTGGGCCTTTAAAGTCTAGATCAGCACCTATGGATGAATGGATTCAGCATACGATGAATGTTGAGACATTTAGCTATAATGATGAATCTTGGGTAGGAGAAGCGGTTTCCACCGCAATGAGGAGACATCAAACTGCCAGGTGTTTTAATTGTGGTAAATTAGAAACTCTATACCGACAGCTATGGAACCTCTCCACAGGACTGAACTAAGACCTCCATATATGGAAGACAGTGGTGAAGCTTGGAGTATCTGTGAGGCACCTGGAAATAGGACCAGGATCTATCCCTTGTGCATGAGATAGCTTCTTAGAGGTCATTCCCTATGATGGGTTGCCATGCTCATACTTAATTCATGGCTGAGTAAGGAGGCGCTTGGTCCTGCCCCAACTTAATGTGCCAGACTTTGTTGAGTTCCCATGAAAGCCCTTACCCACTGAGAGGAGTGGAGGTGGGGAGGCAGGAGAAGGGATGGGGGAGAACTGTGGACGGAATGTAAAATGAAATTTAAAAATTAAATTAAAATTTAAAATATAAAAATATTTTGATTCCTCTTACACAAAATACAAAGAGGTAACTACATACCCCACCTTCATAACCACTCCACTGGATTGAAAAAACTGACCAATGAAATAGCAAAACACAAAACTAAGAAACTTTCTAAAAACTGAATAGAATTAGAGATACTTATGTGAACTATAGTAAGGCACCAAAGGGAATGTACCACACTACCACTCATACATGGGATATAAAAAAGTCAACCTCATAGAACTTGAGTCTAGAAAGGTCCAGAGGCTAAAAATGGAGGTAACATAAGCATGAAGTAGATGATCAATGGATACCAAGTTACAGTTAGAAAAGAGAAGTTCTGGGGTACTACTATACAGTAAATGGTCTGCGAAAAGCTTTAATGTACTGTGCAGTTCAAAAACCTAAAAGAGACACCATATAAAACCCCTCCATCTAGCCAGATCCTTCACATACTTCTCTAAGGTCTGGCCCAATGAATCCACCTTACTTTCTCTTTCACATGACATCCCAAGTCCCCAAATCCAGCCCAGACCCCATATCCAATATTCAGCCTAGTCTGGTCACCCATGCCTGCATCACAACCCATGGGGCCCTCCCATTGCACATCCAACCTCTCCACCCAGCCAGATCTATCTGCACATTCCAGGTTTGGACCAGGATGCATACTCTGCACTCCAGTTTAGTTCTGTCTGTCCACCTGACATCATTCCAGTGTCTAAACTCAACCCAACCAAATATCTTCCTACTGCCAGAACCTGTTCTGTCATAGAACTAATGAAGTCCACATGTCCAGATCTCATCGCAAACCACAAACAATATTAACGTTCAAGGTAGTAGTATCTCCCATCCAAAATATACAAGTCCTGTAGGAATTTTTTGCCAATTAGAAATGAAACATAGATGAACTACAGCACACAAAATTTAAAAGAACAGTAATAAACTTGACCACCATAGAATCTTCATCAAGCAACTGACAAACAGAGGCGGAGATCTGCTTCAGAGCACTGGACTGAGCTCCCAAAGTCCAGTCAGCTGAAAAGTGGGAGGAGTGAGAATATGATCAAAGAGATCAAGACCATGTTGGGGGCATATACTAAAACAGTTTACCTGAAGTAATGGGAGCTCACCAACTCTAGTAAAACAGGGAAGGACCCAACATAGGAACAAACTAGTCCCGCTGAATGTGGTAGGCAGTTGTATGGCTGGGGCACACTGTAGGGCCACTGGCAGTGGCACCAGGATTTGTCCCTACTGCTTGTACTGGCTTTTTTGGAAACTATCCTCTTTGGATGGATACCTTGCTCAGCCTAGATATAGTACAGAGGGCCTTGGACCTTCCCAAAAGCAATGTGCCTTACCCTTTCTGGGGAGTGGACCAGAAGTGGAGTGGGGGGCGTCCGGTGGAGGGAAGTGGGGGGAGTGTGAGCTGAGATTGGTGTGCAAAATGAAAATAGATTGCTTGTTTTCTTTTTAATTAATTAATTAGAAAATAAGTCAATGAGTTTAAAGAAGACACAAAGAAATAGCTCGAAGAAATTAGAGAGAAAACATTTAAGGAAAATAAATGCCTGAATAATGCTTCAGAAAATAGAAACATAAGGCTGATGAAAATGATAAAGATAATCCAAAATTTGAAAATGGAATTCAATAAAAAGATAGAAACACTGATGAGAACTCAAGCTGAATGAAGACGGAAATGAAAAGCCCAAAATTCAACTAGAAAACTCAAAGGAAAGCCTGACAAGAAGAATGAGTCGAGCAGAAGGTAGAGTACCAGGAGGTCAAAGACAAAACATATTATTAAACCAAATCAGGAAGGAATGTTAAATTTGTTTTAAAACACAGGAAGGGACATATAGGAAATGAAAAAGACAAAAACCTTTGAATTTTAGGCATAGATGAGAGAGAAATAAATCCCATGCATCCACCTGCTCTCCCTGCCTTCCAACTACACTCTTCTGTCTGGTATGCTGCACAATGGTACTTCCCACGGGCAGTCTTCGCCGTGTAAGGCTTTGTGTACGTTTATTCATGCTTGTATTGACCTTTGCTGATTGCAGCGTGCTATGCCATAGAAATGTCCTCTGATTTCTTGCCTATAATGCACAGTCCTTAACTTCTAATAATTGTACCCATCTGCTAGGTTGTGCCACATTCGAGAGCCCTTCTGATGTGCACTCACCTAGAGGGTAGGGATATGATCCTGCATACATTCCACAGGCTACTCACTCTAGGATGCTTGTGATAAGTATGAACTTCGGGCCTCTGTGACGCTCTTCCACCATTGTCTCCATGGCCAAGCTTACCTGGCCTCTCTGTTCACTGTACTCACCGCTTCTTGTGATAGTCCAGCAGCCCACTCAGCATTTCTCTGTCTCATGGACTTCGTGGAGTCTGGATCAAGATGATGCTTTCAAGTGGACGAATACTGTGGGTACACATTTCTTGAGGTTTATGCTCAGCATCGCTAATAGGCAGTGAATTGCAAATGAAAACTACAATCAGATATCCCATTATCACTCTTGTTACAATAATATTGTCAAAAGACAAAAAAACAAAAGTGCTGGTGAGAATTTAGAAAGGGAATAAAGGATATAAATTCCTTATCAGTCAGCTAAGATGAATAAATTCAAGAAATGTGTTGCATCACATAATGAATAATAGAATTAATATATTTACCATGCTCTTAAAAAGTGTTAAGATGATGAAAGTATTCTGATTCTCCCAGTGCCAAAAAACAAGCTGTCTGTGTGAGCTAATGTATACATTAATTAGCTAGACTTAATAATTTTCCAACATGCACATATATGTATACATATTTCAAAATTCATATAA